ATATCAACATAAATCAACAAGGAATAAATACATATACATTTATAGAATTTTAAATATATACAAATAAAAAATAAAAGTACAATTATTAGTGTAAACCGGGATCAATTAATTAAAAGACCCAACGTCTTTTCCGTTTGAGCGTTTGTAAGACACTGAATTTATTTATTAAAAACATTTCTTAAGAGCTAGTTGTGATAATATGACTTAACCTAAATTATAATTAAGTGTACATGAGAGAGAGAGAGAGAGATAGATACCAACCGTACACATGCATATGCAACATGCCACCATAAACCTTAGGGGGAGGTCATACACAAAAAATACATATAAAATATAAAAATTACAAATATGAACAATAAAATAGATCTAATAGAAGTGACATTTTAAGAGAAAAGAAGTTAAGTTATAGCACCCAAGAAACTCCTCCATCTTTCCAGCCTGGCTCTCTTGAACATCCCTCCTCCTTTATCTGCCGGCTTCAATTTCCAAGCCGAATCCTTTTTATCTGTCGTCTTCTTTCTGTAGCCAAAGTTTCCATCCTTCTCTGGAAGCGCCGTCTCACCGACCTTGGACAGTTTATCGTTCCAGCGTTCATAATTTTCTGTCACCTCGGCTTGTATTTTATTCGCTGTCTTCCAGCATTTTATTATTCCAGCGACGCATATTGCTTTTCTTCTTAGTTTTCATTTCGCTGGCAAACAGTTTATCTTCGACTTCTTCCAATCTCCCTGTGTCCAGTTTTCCAGAGAGCTGTTCATCTATCTTTTCCAAAGTTGATTCCTTTTTGGCAATTGGGTCTTCCATATAAACTTCTTCAACCATCATTTCTTCGTTGATATTGACCACTAATTTTGCAGCCAATTCATCAGCCTCGATTTTGGATGTTTTCTGCGATATGAGTAACTCTTCCTTAAGTTGCAATATTTCAGCCTCCAGCAGAAATATCCTTCTTTCTTTTTCTTCACCAGCTTCTAGATTTGCAGCCAACCCGTCACGTTCGTTTGCAGCTGCAAGTCGTCCTCTTTTTGCACAAGACAACTCATCACTAAGTATTCTTATTACCGCCTTCAATGCCTTGCTCTCGCGTTGTGCCTCCTGTTTAGCCGCTCGTAATTTGTCCTTGGTATTCTCGGTAACACACACAGCATTTTCGACTTCCTCCTTCAAATTCGAGACAAGTTTGAGGGCATCTTCCTTTTCATTTCTCTGTGAAATCAAGGCAACCTCCATTTCCTTAGTATCACCTTCCATTTTTTTTATTATGGCTACCGCTGCTTCTCGCCCCTCTCGCTCGTTGTCCAATTCGGATGTTATGTAGGCCACTTGTTTCTTCAAGCCAAGGACTTTCTCTTTGGTCTCCACATTGAGAGCCTGCGTGACCTTAAGGACGACCTTAATATCTTCCGAATACAGCCTCGCTGTCGCATTCGGCTGACTTCCTCTGATAGCAGCGGCTAGTTTGGACTTCTTTAAAAGCATCTCAAAAAACCGTCTATGAACGCCTGGATACAATATTACGTCTCTTGCCGCGTCCATAAGTTTTTCTTTGGCGAAGTCAAATACGCCTTCTATAGCCTCTTCCGCCTTTAATGTACTCATTATTTCCATAATTGTACCCATCATTTCGAGAAGAGTGGCAGCCTCTTCCTTTATTTTCATCATTGGCGGCCATTTCACCGATTCGTCCTCCTGGAGATATGCCTCACCCCTTCTGTCTGATGACTTCAAATATAAAGCCCCCTCGGTGTGTACCGCCACCGCAGTCTTTTGTGCTGAAGTCTCTTTTTGACTCAGCATCCTTTTATTTGGCTTATAAATTTCTTCTGTATGGGAACAATTCCAGCTGTAGTTTTAGCTCGGTAATTTTCCACTCTTGAAGACCAATTTTAGCCTTACAGAATTTTCTCGATATTAAGGCAAATTCTTCAACATTTATCCTCTACCGATCCGGCTCGAAGGACCAATTTAAACCGGGATCAATTAATTAAAAGACCCAACGTCTTTTCCGTTTGAGCGTTTGTAAGACACTGAATTTATTTATTAAAAACATTTCTTAAGAGCTAGTTGTGATAATATGACTTAACCTAAATTATAATTAAGTGTACATGAGAGAGAGAGAGAGATAGATACCAACCGTACACATGCATATGCAACATGCCACCATAAACCTTAGGAGGAGGTCATGCACAAGCATAGCTATCTCACATGTGGCAAGCAAACATGCTGCACTTGCTTATCAGTCCCATAATCTAACTCCACCATAACACATGCAGCAATTGAAAATTCTGTATTATTTATTTCTAACTCGAAGGTCTGCTCACCACATTTTCTTATCTTATTTCATGTGGACTGTATTAAGAAGATCCCAGTTTAACAAATCCCTCTCATCTACACTAGGTAGTCCCGCTATTCTCTTTTATTATAAAAACATGTTCACTTATCCGTGAACAATTAGTATGAATACCAAAATAGTTGACAAAAGTGAATAACTTAACCTACTTTTAATGCGATTCTGTAGTTTCTTAAACATGGATAAACACATAAATGTACGTTACCGATTTTGTGTTGATTTTTCAAGTTGACAACAACAAAAAGAGGTATCCTATTTATTTTCCTACGTTCAGCAGTATTAACAATATTAAACCAGAAAGTTATAAAAATGTAATTAGATTAGTTTTTTTTTTATTTTAGAAAAAATTATAGTGATAGTGAAAAAATAAGTGAAAAAGCATTAAAGAAAAAATGTTGTTAAAATATGCATATGTATGTCCCATGAATTTCTGTAAGGGATTGAAGTGTTAATCCCCTTTGAGAATATTAAAACCCAATTTTATAACGACAATTTTTGAATATATTCTCGTTTCATTTCAAAAAATAAAATAAGACATTACGAAGCCATTATGTGGGAACTCAAAATCTACGAATCTTCGTATAAAAGTGACGGTATGTACCTATAAGCCATCAAAGCTTTTACAAGTTAACAAAAGCTGTTGCTCTTCTCTTAAACAGATTTTTTGCACACTGCAATATGAGCGAAGCAAATATAACTGTATTAATATCATATAAGCTACTGCCTGTCCACATGCGGCTGTAGGCTAGTGGAAAGTGTGCGTGCCTCCGCTTTGTTCGATTTAAACGACCTAGGTTCGATTCCTGCACTATGACATTTTTTTTAAACAAACTAATTGCTAATTTTAACATATTTTTCTTTTGTACTAGAGAGCATAGGAATATTTTTTAATTACAATTTCAATCCTTTCCTATACAAATTTACTAAGTATCAGCTTCCTAATGATACCTTCCATATGGACCTATCCCTCCTAGATTTTGTGGGATGTGCTAATAACTTTCATAAAAAATTAAATTCGATTTTTTTTTAAAATTTCCGTAATGAGATGTTCCAACTTTCGATGTTTCTGAAAGCACTCCCCGCTAGATTTCCAATGGTAGCTTCCATATGTAGCTATCTCTCCTAGATTTTGCACAGTGGAATTTCAGCTAACTCATAAAATTTATATTTAAATCTATTTAAAAATAGTTATATGGGTTCCATGGAGTGGACAGTACTGTCTCTTCGAGCACATTAATTTTACAGAGATTTTTATTGTATGTATTAATTATCAATAATGAGAATTATAACTGTTATACAATGTTTTTTATCTATAATACATACACTACAGTGTCGTAATGTAAACAACGAATTATTGTTTTTTATTAGTTGCTTATAATATACAATTAAAATCATATAGTCTCTTAATTCCTACATCTATAAAAGAGGAAAATGTTGTACGTTTGATTATTTCTTTGTTTTGTAACTAAAAACCGCTAAACAGATATTCCCGCAAATATCAAATATAATACAGTACAATACTATATAATTTTTTGTAGTTCCACTTGGAACTGGAGATATAGCATCTCCAAAAAAGTTGTAATTTATATGCATACATACTGTCTTCAAATTTGTGAATGGGTAACGGATTTTGTCTAAAAATAAATTTGCCAAATTATATTAAAATCTGTACAGATTTGGATAAGGCTTCCATAAATATTTTCGACCAAATTCGTGTATTATATGCACCAAACACGCTTTGTATCCCAAATTTCTATGGAACCAGGAATGTGGGGCGGAATTTGGTCTGAAAATAAAATTTTAAAATTATATTGAAATAGGTTTATGTTTGGATATAACCTCTATATAATTTTGGCCGTATTTCGTGTTTCGTGTATTTGATGCATAAAACAGGCTATGGTCAGCTGTACTTGGCATGTTCACATGTTGGTAGACCAAATTCACATAGTTATAACTTGAAAATGCAGTTGCTTTCGTGAAACAATCGAGGATTTTCCTCACCCCAAAGGCGACAATTCGGCCTATTGATGAAGCCATCAAGGTACATGAAGATGCAAATCTTTCGTCAAAATTCGTTACCATAGTGGATTTAGAGGTGATGGAGTTTTGATCGCAAGTTTCGAACTGTAGGCGCAAAACCATTTTGGTAAACCAATTAGAATGCGTTGTTCATTCGCATGGCGCTCCGTTTTTAATAAGCGCATACCTCCTACTGGCAAATAATAACAATTTTTCAAATGTCAAACAATGACAGTTCGCCAAATTAAAAATTGTTTTCCAGTTGGAACACCCTTTATATTTATTACAATTATGTTGAAATTGCGACGCCACAGCCGCTAATTTGTTGACATGGGATATGTATATATTTACAAATAGCACTGAAGCAAAACAAACCAAAACCGCGGCTCAAGCCGCCTGAAAAACTATTTTAAAAATCGAACCATGATTCAAAGGTAGTTTGAACCTCTGATCTGAACTAACCCAAATCAGCAAGTGGTTTGCAGACCTAGCTGGCAATCTAGTACTATTTTTAACCTGGCCAAATTTGTAAACCAATGTAACTAAAAATAATTTGACAACAAAATGCTAACCTCTTTGTAATAAAAGGTAATACTTAATAAAATAATGAATTTTTTTTCACTACTTTTAGGTGATATTACACAGAAGGGGTATGAAAAAAAACGAGCTAAGCTTTTACAGCCATTTCTAACGAAAGCAATCGAAGGTATTTCATTCTCCTCTCTAGTGCGGTATATCGGATTTATGAACGATTTTTTTCAGCTCCTGAAGAAACTTTGAACAATGCAATGCCACCGTATTACAATATTAGGGAAACTAGTTTGGAAAATAATAAGACTGTTCGTGATGGCGCATTAGTATCTAGCGAAGGGTATAGTTATGTATCCGAAGTACCGTCTCTTTCATCGTCTAATCAAAGGCATTCCAATTCAACAAAAAGAGATGATTATTATCAACCTGCTGATAGTCAAGCAGAACCAGGCTATGAAAACAGTCGTGTGCGCAGGACACACAGGAAAATAACGCACAATGAAAAAAGGTATCACTCAGGTAAGTACGCTCACATTTTTCTTATATTTTTCTTTTGAAATTGCCAATTTTAAGAAACTTCCATGCTAAGAAAGTACAAATGCCGACTTTTGAAAGACTTCCATACCATTTGTCAAATCAACTTTGGTTTGAGAAATGCTCGTGCTAATTAGAAACGATCATCATCTTTACCTAATGCTCCTAATAACAGGTCATAGATATAAAGAGCAAGATAAATATTCGTAAACGAAAAATTGTGAATGAGAAATGTTTAATTAAGTTGACACCAGCATTGCTATTGTTAGGACTTAGCGACTACTTTATTTTGGTCATGAACTTGTCGAAAATAAGCGAAATTAAAATCGTTTTAGTTTAGCCGATTTTGGTTAACTCAAAAATTGCTCCGGCTTAAGCCAGATACCGGAGTATAGCGGGACCACATTGCTTCCTGCTGCACCGATGTAGACCTCCATTGGGTGCTCATCTTCGTCGTCCACAACGTCGTCTGAGTATGAGACTCCCCCGCAATCTCCACAATAGCAAGTCGTACAGCAGTTGATGCTACACATTGCTGTTCAAGTTCCGGACAATGCATCGTTTTTCCAATTCAACTGTGATGGTCTCCGAGTTAAGATCAACGAAATCGTAAGTCGGAAGAACATCAAAGTCGCAGCGATCCAGGAAACAAAGCTGAGTACCACATGCAGGCTTCAAAGTTGTGATGGATACAACGTATTGAGTTAGGATGGCACCAGAGGTGGATGATTAGCGTTCCTATTGCACCACTCTATCCAGTACAGACCTATCTCGCCTGAGCTTGACTCTAGTAACCCGTACATGGATTGTATGGGGGTAGCGGTTAAGTGTGGAACCACCGAGGTAGAGGTGATTAACGTGTACACATTCAGCCGTTAAATAGCTGTGCCCCACGTTATATGCTCAATATCAGTTCGCTTCTGGTAGGCAATAACCGTCTGGTGCTGGGGGATTTCAATGCCCATCATGAACTATGGCATTCCGGCCTGAGACCAAATTTCTTAGCATAGGCAGCGGGATTAGCAGGTGAGCAAGATGAGCGTACTAACACTAAAAACCCCAAAGTCAGGCACTTACTCTGGAGATAAACAGGTTAGTCCGACCACCAACTACTCCAAGGTTTTAGGGGTCACTTTCGATAGCCTCTTCAAGTTGTCCGCACATGCCACAGCTATCTGCGATATAATTAGAAGTGGGAACACGGTTCTTAAGTCTCTGGGCGACAGCACTTGTGTAGCTGATAAGGTAACCTTGTTGATCTCTTACCTAGCAATAAGCCGGTCTGTGGTAAACTATGCGGCTCCGTTGTGGTCCGCCAACGTTAGTGCTACGCAGTGGAAAAATGTTTAGTCCTGCAGAATGCCGTCCTTAGAACCGTAGCAGAGTGCCTCCTCATCTACATGAAGAGTCGAAGGTCTTATCGGTGCGAGGGCATAATAAAATGCTGTCAATGCAATACCTGCTTGGGCGTTACAGATCAACAACTTGATGGATGTTCGTTTTGACAAGCAGCTTCATGTGCCATCATTAAACTCTCATGGCTGACACACTGTTACATAATTATCGTTCAATTTCTTAAATGTTTTACATTTGTATCGAAATTTATCATTTTTATCAGACTCCATAAATTTTCTTACCATCTACACAACAGTTCTGCTTTTTCCCAGAAATACCGGTATGTTGAAGAGTATATGGGCTTCACTTCTGAATTGTTGAACTCAACGCCATTATCACTTATGAATGTTTTAAATATGTGTCCTTGGGATTTGGCTTGTACAAGCATTTCTACTAATGTATCCTTCACATTATATTCCAAACGAAATGTTGTGTAATCATATAAACGACAAGATATTTATGTTCTCGAAATAAAGAGGTGAATGGGTCACAAACATTTGTCGATATTAACTCTACTGGGGCTCTTGCCGTCTCACGACTTCCAAATTGTAATCTTCCCATCTTTTCTATTTTTTTCTTTACATGCCGTTTATCTTGCTGCCCCAACCTTTCTAATATAACTAAAGCTCAAAACTTTCACGTTATGCGAGACTCACTGATTTGCGGTCACGGGAAGAAAAACGTGTTGTGTCATTATCAGCCCACTAATCACTCATAGATATACTCAAATTAAGTTCATTTGACACCGATTGAAAGCAACATTTTTGATTTATTTGGTTTTCTGGAGTCAATAATGCCAATGTTCCCTTTTATATCAGTGGTGACAAACATCATCTTTCTTACTTTTTATACCCTCCACCATACATAGTATGGACGGTATATTAAGTTCGTCATTCCGTTTGTAACTTATCGAAATAATCATTTTAGACCCAACAAAGTATATATATTCTTGATCAGCGTAAAATTCTAAGACGATGTAGCACTGTCCGTCTGTTGTAATCACGCTACAGTCTAAACGAATTAAGATAGGAAGCCAAAATTTTGCACTTATTCTCTATCTATTATCTATTTCGAAACAACAATAGCCATACAAGATAAATATGCATGTCCCAGAGAGAGAGAGAGAGAGAGAGAGAGAGCATGCGTAGTAAATGTAATTTGTAGGAACAACATTCATTCATAATCTTTATTCATCAATGAGATTATGGCAAAAATCATAATATGCGACAAGTGTATTGAAGGTCAGAAACAATGCATTTTACTGCATAGCAACTAAATATACAATGAAGAACAAAATATTTTGCACAACCGTCACAGTGATTCATTCAGGCCGATATCACATTTATCACCAGTAACTGCAGCCTCGTTGTTGACCCAACCTGTACATGTTGCATCCTTTTTGAGACTGGACTTAGAGGCAGAACCCGATTGAGAAGGGTCAGATCGAACACAGCAGTATGAGCTGCTACAACAACAACAACAACAACAACATGGGAGCTATATCCAAATCTGGTCCGATCTCAATAAAATTTTGCAAAAATATTTCTGAGGTGTATTTAATATACTTCTCCGAATATCGTTGTTACGGAGTACATGTTACGCCTGTAGAGGAGAAATGTAACAAATCCGATGAAGAATATATATGAAAGCTATAGCTATATCTGAACCGATTTCCACCAAATTTGCCACACTTGTTTCTCGACTCAATTTGGTTATATATATATATATATATATATATATATATATATATATATATATAAATTTTGATCGATTATCTCCAATTTCAATAGCGTTCGTCCTTGGGCCAAACACATGATTTGAGCAAAGTATCATCTATGATTTTTTTTATTCATATATTATCCTCTTCTGAAATGATATTACGAGGTCAGTTCGGATACTTTTTATCCCAGCACAAAAAGAGCGGTATAAAAAAGTTAAGTGTTTCGGAAACTTCCATCTCTGTTATGAACACATGTTGAATTTTGTTTCGATCTGGCAACTCCTTCATATAGAAACAGGCGTTTAAAAAAGCCGCACCTGCAATTTTTTTTGGGACTTTAAAGTTATTTTATTGATTGACTATATGCAAAAGGGCAAAAAATAAATTCAGGGTACTATTGCAACCCTTTGAATCAATTAAATGTACAAATTCGAGAAAAACAAAAAAATAATTTTTCATTAAGACAACGCACCAGCGCACAAGAGTGTTTTAACAATGACAAAAATCGACGAATTAAAGTACGAGTTGCTTGACCACCCATCTCCTGATTTAGCTCCCAGCGACATATACTTGTTCCCAAAACCAAAAAAAATCCCTTGCTGGCAAGCGTTTTACCTCAAATGAAGATCCAATTACAGTTGTAAACCACTATTTTGAAGACCTTGAGGAAAACTGTTTTCATCAAGGGATAAAATTGCTAGAAAAGCGTTGGACCAAGTGTATTGAAGTTTCAGGAGATTATATTGAAAAAGAAATATTTTTGAAAAACTTACCATTCTCTTTCAATGATAGGCTAAGAAGTTTCCGAACCGCTCTCATATTCGTGTAGTTCCACTTACCCAATAAATACATAAAATCTATAAATATACAAAAATATTTTTTTTATTCACATATCTGTATTTCCACGCGATATTTTTTTTGCCAATATACCATTCCGAAATTGTATGAATAACGCGTTTTTTTTTGGATTTTATCCCCCTCTACCAACATCTCTGAAGTTGTCTGAATGGTTAAAATCAGACCAACGGCTCCTGCTTTATAAGCGCAGTAACTAACACAGCTTTCTTTTATATATAGATATATATATAGGCCGGCCCGTAGTTTTTGTCTACTATGCATATTTGTCAAAGCATAATTATTCACAGATATGACTGATATAAGTGTTCACGTACTGGTCGATTAAACGTGTTTTAAAATACTTGTACCCATATTTAAGCCGTGGGCTTCTATATTTAAACCGTGGACTTCAAATGTGTGAATGTGCTATACAAAAGTATATATCAATCTTATTCCCATGTAATGGATCAAATTAATTTTTAGTATGGTAAAAATCGTAGCAAAATTTTCCAGTCAAATGAGTAGTAATTTGGAATTTACTTTATTTTGTACACCTCATAATTGAGGGCTGAATGATTTAAGAATAGCCAAAGTTAAGTACTTTTTTAAACCCATTAGCACCTCAGATTGTGCATTAGAGTCCTCATAAGTCCCCATAACCATGTCGGTCTTTTTAGAAAATTCTAAAATTTGTAGATATGTTGAACTTTTTGTGTAAGATTTCCGCCCCAAATATACATTTTTAGCCAAATCCTTTGAAATATGGTAAAATCAGGAGGTACCTTTATATGGGCACTGCTCCGAAACATCGACCTACATTGAAAACTATCTTCTGCCCCTTATAATCCAATATGACAAATAGAGGCCAAATCAAAAATATAGCTATTTTACATCCATTACCGTAAGATGGGAATTAATTTTATTTGCCACTTAAATTGTAAGTTGGAGACCCCATAAAGTCCATATTTTTCTTCATAGTATAATTCAATGACGATTCAACAAATATTCGGTCCCGTGCTACTTATATTTGTAA